CCCCAAAACCCCAAAACCCCAAAACCCCAAAACCCCTTTTGAATATTATTATATTGAAATTTTAAATGAAAATGTCTGTGAACCTGCTCGGTAAATGCCAAACTCATCTTTAGATGGAATCTCAGAGATTTCCTTTGAGGATGATAAAGATGACAGCTTCATGTTACAAGAAGTAGAGAGATATAAAGAAAAAATGGATACAAAATCAAAGTCTCAGTTAAGTAACTACAAGCAGAATAACTTGTCTCCTGAGCCTAAGATGGATACTCTTCAGGCTGCCCAACATGGTAGAATTCAGGTATCTTCCCTATAACTTTACAGGAACTACGAAGAGATGCTTCAAGAAAGTCTATTAACTCTTTGAACTCACGCAGTATTTCTGGTAGAGCTTAGTAAGTCATTGCTTAACCTTAGTTCGAATGAACCAGAACCTAAGTTTACCGAGATCCATAACAGAAGAGTGAAGATAAACAAAGCTGAAGAAGGATTGGTTTATAAATAAACAAATATTTGAGGAGGAAAAACAAGTAGGAGCACAATTACTTTTAGAAAGATAAAGTCCAAAAGCAGAAGGAGTTTGAAAAATTTAGAGATGCAGTTGAGATGACCAACCTTGAAAATGGCCATTTTATATATCCAGATGAGTCTAATGAGAGCTATGGCTCAACCTTTGATGAAGGCTCTAATTTTACTATCAAAGGTAGTACTAAAAGGAATATCTTATAGAAGTTAAAACCCATGGATCAAAGATACTGTATAGCCCTTCTGGGCATAAAAGCAAATTTTCATATTTCCAGAAGCACAAGAAGTCTACAGTCACACTTCCAAAAGGAAGGAGTACTGTAAAGTTCCCAAATATTTCTAAATTTACTCGCAAAATGTAAGTTCTATTCTTTGCTGACTGATTTTATTCTTTTAGGCAAAGTAAGCCTTCGCAATTTTATCACAGAAAGCGTTTCTTCAATGTCAAGAAGCAAAATTTCCAAAAATCATGCAAAAATGAACCACTACAGATCCTTCAATAAACCAGACTACTCCCAAGTGTTGACCAACAACTCAATCCCTGGTGTAAATCCCCTTCGTCTAACCCTAGACTGGCTTATTCGCAACCAGACCCAAAAACCCTCACGTAAGCCCTCAAAAAACCCTTAATCTAGCATCCGAATGCCCAAAACTTCCCAAATATCCTTCAAAATCCCAATCCCGTAAGCCCCTTTCCCGACCCTACAGACCTCCAAACCCACCAAGTCCAAAGCTCCATCCACTTCCTCTCCCAAATCCCCCTTCCTGCACCCCCAGCCAGATCCCGACCAGGCTGAAGAGTCTCTTCAAGACCTCGCCCAGAACAAATTTGAGAAAGAATTAGTAAATCTGTACGTAAAAAATAGGTTGTAATGCTGGAAAAATAAAAACACTCATCTATCTAAACAACTTGAGAAAATGATTTACGAAAATGAACGCTTGCATAAGGAAGTCAGGAACAGTATTTCTAGTCATAAAATTTAGCTAAATCTATCGCTGAGAACCTTAACTCAGAAAATAGCAGACTTATCGGAGAACTGAAGCAACTACAGGTAGAGAATATTACTCTTAAGCAGGAAGGAAATCCACCAGTGGTTAGTCAGAAATACTCTCAGCCCCTTCTGCCTCAAAATCCGTACCAGGATTCTAGTGAAAAATCAGAGGAAAGCCAGTTAAATATCAGCAGGGATTCAGTGAAATTCAAGTACGTTGAATCATTTTTTGTATGCAATAGATGCTGCACTTAGGTGGAAAATTATCTTAAGAAGCTAACTTATATCTTGCCTAAAATATATACTTTAGACTATCTTATCATCCTTCGTTTTTAAGATACATTAAGCTGTTCGTCATGGAATCTTTAAAATTTAACACCCCAACTAAAGGTACTTTGAACAAGACATCAAAGATCTTAAAGAAGAGAAAAAGGAACTTCAAGATGGATACAATGAACTTATGGTGAATTATACACATCTTCTCAGTAAAGTTCAGGAGTATGAGGAGGTCAAAGCTTTACAAGAGCAGCAGAAGAGCCAACAAAATGGTAGAGTAGAAGGCTATATAGCTTTAGATACCCCACAAGAAATAGAGAAAGAACAAATCGATGACAAACAGGTAGGCTTCTAATCTTCAAAATTTTATGTTTTGATACAAGACTAACTAAGTATAAAAGATATACATATTTAAAACGCATCTATAGTCATTCTGATATACTAATTTTTTCAAATAAAGCAACACTTTATTCTGAATTTCATAGAGCACAACAAAATCTGTAAAAGAAGACCAAAAGCCAAAAACTCCCGCAGATGCTAAGAAAATCGCAAATCTCACTAAAAAGTATCAATCTCTTCTCAAAGGTACTCTTTCCATAATCCTTAGCCAAAAACTCCGAATTGGAATCCTCAGCTCTTGAAATCTCGTCTCTCAAAGAACTACTACAAATCGAGCAACAAAAGTCCTCGTGGTATGAGACCCAATTATCATCCAAGGACACCAAGGTATGCTTTTCTCTAGCCCTCTAGATCAGGTCCCTCACTCAAAAGCTCACTGAGGCCTCTCCAACAACGTAATCTTCCCCTCTAATCCCTCTAGTGAATCCGAAGAGCAGCCTAAAAAGCCCACCAGGTCAGAGTAATCCCTTCTATAACCCTCTAGAAAGCAAAGGGTGATCAGAAAAGGCCAAAAACACGAAGAATTAGTCAAAGTGACCAAATCCAAGAAGCCAAGTAAAAAACCTAAGGATTATGGCCTAATCCAGCCGAATTAAGTTCAACTTAGGGACTTAATCTTGGGGTTTTGGGGTTTTGGGGTTTTGGGGTTTTGGGG